CTMTAATCTGAATTCAAGAGCACTTTAGGAAATGTTGGTCTTACTCATTGACCCTTGCTTATCCTTCCTTAACATAAGGGTAAAAATACTAAGGCTCCTTGAATGGGCTTTTGTTTGAAAAACAGTGATCTTCAGGTGAGAAGCTCAGTGGTGTAAACAAGGGGAAGATGTGTGCCCTTGTTGCAAACCTGACGATCTGATAAGTAGGACATGCCTTTTTGCAGGCAAAAACATTTTGCTTAGAAGTACTATCAAAATTCTGGAGAAACTTCCCACGCAAGTACAAGGCATCYGCCCAGCAGCGACATGGAGATGCACAAGCCACTTCAGAGATGTGAACACACAATGTCATTAGTGCTTGTATGGTAGACACCATTCATGCTTCARTGCAAGTGAAGATCCCAGAAAGCCTCTTGATACATAACAGCTGGCCCTATTATAAAAATCATGACTGTTTTTACCTAACCTGGGTATATTTCCTTGTAACCATTGAACATGTCTTTTGAATTATAGGGTATGACATAAGTAAGTTTCTTGGATTAAGAGTCAATGTAGAAGGATTGACTGGAKAGCATAAGGTTTTTCTCTGCAGGATAAATGTGCAAAGTCTCATCCAGGTGTCACATGAATGAGAAGACTGAGAGGGGGGTCTGATCCGTATGTATAAATGTAAAAATAAACCTGAAGGGGGAATCTAAGGAGGAAAGGGTCAAACTCTTCTCAGTGGTGGCCAGTGACAGGACAAGGGACAATGGGTACAAGTTGAAACCCAGGCAGTTCCATCTCCATGTAAGGAAGAACTTCTTTCCTGTGAGGGTGACAGAGCCCTGAAACAGGCTGCCCAGGGAGGCTGTGGAGTCTCCTTCTCTGGAGATCTTCAAAACCTGCCAGGATGCCACCCTGTGCTCTGGGTGTCCCTGCTGGAGCAGGGGAGTTGGACTAGGTGATCTCTAGATGTCCCTTCCAACCTCAATCATTCTGTGATTCTGTGTATGCTCAGCTGTAGCTGCTCATGTATGGAGTGACATCACTATTGCTGAGTTGCAATGAGGAGATAAAGAACAATTSAAATCATAACAATGAAAAACATAACAATGAAAATTGGGATCTGTCACCCTTACTTGTCACAGGCTGTGCTCTTCTGTTTCTCAACATGCTTTTGCAGCTTTCAAGACTCACATTCCTCTGTAGTTCAAGGGAGAACCACAGTTAGAGGCAGATGGGGATCCATAACTCCATAATTAACCTGACCGCTATTACAGCTTCTTATATTTGTTCTTTGTAAGATTATTTTCACATCATTAACACCAAGAAAGACTAGGGTACGTGAACTTAGATGGGAGACCTCTACCACATTAGAGTTTGGTTTTGTTAGTCTTGAAGTGTCAGTCTCTTCTCCTAGCATAACCTATTGGGTGATATCTATGGGGCAATCTTGAATCACCCCATAAAATTGAAAATGTTGACCACTTSCAGTGAAATCTTCCAATGCTTACAAAAATCTTCTGTGCTGATCCAGTTCAAGTCCATGTGGACTTCTCTTTAATATTTCTGTAATACCAGAACTATATATCCTTGCCCTGCTTTGAAATAATAGTTGTCTGTGACAAAAAATCTGAAAGACTGTCTCAGACTTGAGTAGTCCCTGTGGATTTACACTAGGAATGTTTGTGTGTTTTCTAGTTTCCTTCAAAGCCAGAAGGACCCTGATTTTTTTTTTTAACATGTTGATATTTTGCTACAGTTTGGTTAGAGCAAGYAGAAACAGGCACAGGTATCTGCATGGTTATAACTGGATCACCAGAAACACTACTGAAACCCACTTCTGGGCTGCTGGTTAAGGAAACCTAAATTATTTAAGAAAATAAATCAGATATGCTGCTGTTCAAACTGTATTTCCCATACACAGCCATTGGAGAAGAGTGAGACCACTTCTGGAGGCAGAGGGGCAAGTGCAAACAACTCAAGATTTGAATGTTTGAAGTAGAAAAAAAGGAATAGCCCCTCACTGTCCATCCAGAGGTGGACACTTCAAGACTTAGTGACGGTGGAACCCATCTGAAAGAGGAATACATAAATATATGGAGCCTGATGGGTGAAAGCTGAAAGGAGAACAGTCAGATGGAATTTGCCAAGTACTAGAAATGTAGCAGATAYAACAGCATGTAAAGTATTAAAAAAGCACAATCAGGGAGCACAGCAGGTGTCATGAGTCAAAGGAACTTTGCTCTTTGAGCTGATGAATTCTGGTGCTTATGCAGAAATCAAGCGAAACAGGCTAATGTAACCTGGCAGAAAGCACATCTGAGGCAGCTGTGTCTGATCTGCAGTACAGCTAGAAAAACAGTGCTTAGCACTGTCTTTGGTGGCTTCTGTTTGCAATCCCTGTCAATCAGCAGAGTTATTAAAGAGTTATTGTAGAGTAAAGGTGTCTGTTTATGCAGCTTCACACCTGACTAAATCTAGACAGACAGGAAGGCAAATGCTTTCTTCTTTGCTGCCTTTCATGTAGCTTCTCAAGTATGGTGCTGAACAAGGGGTAGGAGCATCAGCCCATGCTCCCCCTCGCAGGAAAGGAAAATGGGAAAAAGCTACRGGAACCGTATTCCCCATCCCACATCCTCTTAGACTCCAGTTTAACAAGATGTGTTGCAGTCTCCCCTTGGCAGCATCCTGGAGTCTGCACAGTTGTAATTCCTGTTCTCATCTTCTGAGGTCAAGATGCTTTTGATAGGGAAAAGACTCTCAAGAATGTACATTTTTCATCTTGCCAAGAYTGGAAAAGGAACTAATTTTTTTTCTATTTCAGTTTTGCCTTTCTGCTTTCCTCCTTTCTAGTCAGCCTGATGTATAATATGGAAAACTGAGGGTGATCCAGAACAGAGCCCCGGAACAGGCTGCGCAGGGAGGCTGTGGAATCTCCTTCTCTGGAGATCTTCCAAAACTGCCTGGACACCACTCTGTGCTCTGGTTGTCCCTGCTGGAGCAGGAGGTTGGACTAGATGATCTCTAGAGGTCCTATCCAACCTCTACTATTCTGTGTGATTCTGTGAAAACAAGCCCCCAGCAAACCATATGATCCTTGCTTTTATGATATTCTTGGGGTTACAAATTACACTTAACACATTAAATTCTGCTGGGTGATTTGTGACATTCCAAAGGGTGATCAGATCACTGGTGACACATTAATACCACAGGCTGGCACAGCATTGGAGCACCTTGCCCAAACCACTTTCTTCTGCTCATTTCTCTATTACATATACATTTCTCTATTATATATACATATACATTTTTGCTTCCTTTTGTTTTTTGATGGTTGCCAGTGATGGAGAAAAAATAGTTTGGGAAAATCTTTTTTTTTYTTTYTWWWWAARRTWKTTKTTTTTTTTAAAAAAAGTTATCTGAATTATAACTTCTTATACACCACTTATCTTCCATTGCTAGGCATTCCCATTTGACATACTGGTACTGTGGAGCATTTTGCTCTGCTTTTGAGTTCTGGAAATACTTTTAGTTTAATGCAGACCAACGCAGATTCAGTTTGATGTGAATTAGGAAGTTAAAACGATCCAGTTAAAGCCTCTGAAGTAGATTCGAGGAGGTTTTGTACTGTTTTTGAAGGTCAACCTGCTGAGGCCACGGTTGCAACACACAACGTCCCAACGGATGTTCCTCCCACCCCATCCCTCCATCACCCCACGCACAGCCGCCCGCGCTCAGCCGTTAACGGCCACGCGCCTCAGCCGTTAACGGCCGCGCGCGTTCAACCGTTAACGGCCGCGCGCCTCAGCCGGTAACGGCCGTTAACGGCCGCGCGCCTCAGCCGGTAACGGCCGCGCGCCTCAGCCGGTAACGGCCGTTTTCCCGTGCGCCTCAGCCGTTAACGGCTGCACGCCTCAGCCGTTAACGGCCGTTCTCCCGCGCGCCTTAGCCGTTAACGGCCGCGCGCCTCAGCCGTTAACGGCCGTTCTCCCGCGCGCCTTAGCCGTTAACGGCCGCGCGCCTCCGCCGTTAACGGCCGTTCTCCGGCGCGCCGCAGCCGGCGCGGCTGGGCGCTCCCTGTCCTCCTCGCCCCGCCGCCGTTGCGGGGCCGGGCCGGCGGCGCCGCCCTGGGGCCGGTAAGTGCAGCTGCCCGACCCCAGCCCCGAGGAGCCCCCTCCCCGCGCTCGGAACAACTCCTCAGGCAGGGCTGCCCTGTCGCTTTCCCAGGCGGAGTTCTGCCCCTGCACAAACCCTTCAGGGGGGTTTTCCTTAAGCCCTCTGTGTCCCCCAGGCAGGGCTATCCCATCCCTCCACAGACATCCAGCACCCACAAACAGGACCGTCCTGTCCCCCTCCCATAAACACTCCTGCTCTTCTTGTATCCCCCCGCCTCGAGTACTACCCCTCCCAAGAAAGGGCTATCCCACCCCCCCAAAGCCAGACCTCCCCTACCTCTCTCCAGAGACCACCTCCAAGCAGCACCCCCCCCATTTCCTCCAGGGGAGGAGTGGGAGCTACATGGAAGATCCAGCCCCCACAGGGTTGCATTTTCYAGTGTGAAGCTTGGATTTTCTGCACCCTGACTCCCCTGCCCCTCCTGGTGTGGGGATGTGGTGGTGCTAGCGGGCACCCCTGGCTTTGCTGAGCAGTCCAGACTCCAGCTCAGTTTTAGCTCCGCGATGGTGCCAGCCTCTTCACTGGCAGCACTGTCCCTGGCACGTAGGGAGTCAGCTTTGAGTCAGAACCAGCCCAGAAGAAACCTGGGCTGCTGTACRAGGTTTTCCCTGCATGAGCCTTAGCTGCCTGGGGATGAGGGTGCGAGACACCTTGGGGAGACTAAGGTGCTGCTGCTCCATCTGCTTGCCTTTACTATGGGAGAACGCGTGCTTCTGCTGGGTGGAGGTCTCAAACCAAACACCCCTGTGCTATTTAACAGGACCGGGTCCAGCGTAGCGGGCTGGGGGCAGAACTAACCAGCTACACGTACCGGAGCTGAGGAGGAGCTCCGTGGGAAGGCACTCGKGAGGCTGCTGTGAGTCACTCATCCCCTGCTGCTGGGAATAGCAGCGAGCAGCCTGCGAAGCAACACCGGTGAGATGCTTCGTGTTGATGGACTGAAATGAACGGCCGGTTTAGGAGGTGAGGAYGGTGGGCTTGCTGGGAGGTCAGATGTGACGTCTGGGGTGGGGACGTGTTGAAGGAGTGCCTCTGCACTGGTTTGGGAGGTGAGCAGCGAGGATGGCTGTCTATATGCAGCCGATGTGAGGATGAGCCCTAGTATTTGGGAAGTGGCACTGTGTCCAGCTGTGTTCCTTCAGCACACACTGCCCTGGGCGCCTGGGGCTGACTCCTGGACAAGCAGTGCCGCGAATGCGTCCCCGGCTCCGCAGCGTCCTGCTGTCCCTGCTGCCCCGTCAGCTCGGGGCTGCACCCTGGTGGAGGGTGGCTGGTTCCTCTTCTTTTGAGACCCTTTTGCACCCTTTGCAAGTGTGGTCGCGTCTGTGTATACTGTTGACCTCCTCCCTAGCAAATTACAGACCTCTTTTTCATTAAGTGCCACACAACTGCAAAACGCAACACCATTTTTCTACCTTTCACATGGTGAAGACAGGCAGAAATTGTTTGGGGAAGGAGAGTGAGAGGGGAGAAAAGCTACCACAGAGGCTCACTCACTAGCTCAAAAGTGTGGTTTCCTAAAATATATGTTTTACTGCTGGAACCGTGCCCAGGGACATCTCTTACCACGCAGGAGGCTTACGTAGTAATGCTCTGCTTTCTGACAAACTATGGAGCAGCTGCAGTCCTGGCTCACAGTAGTGTCGAGGAATGGAGCACGTTTTGAGGTCCTAGAGTAGAGACGGTTGCATGTGCAGATCCTTACTTGGTTTAGCAAGCAGCTGAGAAGCTGAGTCTGGCACTAAGTATGTTTCCAAATATTTCCTAATTAAGTGCAGTCAGCCTTGAGATTGCAAAGGTTTCCTTCTTTTATTCTTTTTTTTTCCCTTTATCTAAAGATATCCATTTTGTGATAAAATTAACCTTTACCTTGGGATTTGATTGCTGAATAAATTAGTCATACTTTCTGTATGCTAAAGGAAAACAGCTGGTATTTTGGAGTTGTTCTAGACTTCTATCAAGCAGAATGAGCAGAGACAGAGAATCTAGCCCGGGAAGTTTTTTTTAAAGGGAAGCATAACTGTTATGCCCAAACGAGAAGAATGCAAACCCTAGGGCATCTAAGGCTGGTGGGAAACCTGGGGTGATCCCACATCATGGTCCAGCAGGAACTTAGCCCTTCAGTTAAGAAGGCTCCTTACAGGAAGGGTTGAAGGACTGGTACTAGARGGTCCTCACTGTGCTGTGTCACTGGCATAGCCACTATGTCTGCATGGGCTGGTGTGGCTGTATGAGTATTTAAGAGCTCAGATGCCTATTTTGTGAGTGGAAGTATATCCTTTGAAAGGTGACAACTTTAAGATTGTGTCATCTTCTGGTTTCTTATATTAATTAACAATTCTCCAGGTGTTCAGGAGTAGCATTTCTTAAAAAGAAATGAGTTGCTGGTCACAGGCCAAAAAACCAAACTATTGGCTATAGCACAAACTACTGATTAGCTTTCAGGAGACTCTATTAAGAATCCTTGAAAAGGAGTCAGGAGCAGAATCCTGGACCTTGAATTCAAAACTGAAGCTTCAAGCAAGAAGAGATTGTTCTTTTTACTGAATATTTGCTGTCAGAGAACTCACTTAGGATGTCAGAGGAGGACAGTCTCCTTTTCCCCACCTCAGTCTGTCCTGGTGTCTTGGACCAGGTGGGACAGGAGAGTTTCAGTTGCCAATTAGCAAGCTTCAGCTTGAGGAGGGACAAGAGGCTTTTTCCTTTCCTGTTTTTCTGTGGAGTTTTTGATGTTTTCAGATGTTTTTGTAACTTGAAATAAACAAAAGCACTAAATCCAGCAAAAGTAAAAGGTATGGAAATGAGCTGAGAATATTGAAGGATATGTGGGTATACATAATATGTAGCTAATATGTACTGGGGAAAAGTCAGTATTGCTTTTATATAAGTCAACTTGGCCTCACATTTTGTTATTTGTTAACATTTTTCAAAAGCCTTCCCTTTGGTGATGAGAGAGATCCAGTTGGCATAGTCTGCTTGGATTTCTGAGAGACTTTCAGCATGGTCCCTTGTGCAGGGCTTTTGAGAAAACTTGAGAGTCCTGAGCTGAGAGTCTTGAGTTCCTTGCATGGATAAATAATTATTGAAAAGATGAAATGAAAAGGAGAAGTGGATGGTGAGTCACCAGATAGAAAAGAGAGATCAGCACTGCTTCTTATAAGGATTGGTGCTGGGACGTGTGTCATTCAATATGTTTGTAACAAAATAGAACAACTGCTAAGGAGAGAAGTAGCGATACTTGGAGATGTTACAAGGTTTAATCAGGGTACTAAAGACAGTGCCGAACTTAAAGGATTGCAGAAAAGCAATTATGAACCTTAGAATGGAAGAATAATTTTGTGAAGTGATGGACTTTGGGGATGGAGGAAGGGAGGGAACCATCCAGGTTTCATATATAAAACAGGGGGCTCTGAGYTGACCATTACCACTCAGAAAGAAGGTATTTTTAATTATGACAGGTAGTTCCCTGTGAAGGTCAGCTCTGTGCTAAGTGCCAATCAAAAAAAACCAAACCACATTAAGGTTTATTATGAAAGAAATCAAGGACAAACAGAGACCATCATTAAGCCATTATAGAAATCCACAGTGCATTTACATCTTGAAAAGAGTTCGCAATTTTGGTCCATCCAGAGGCTCAGAAGAGCAGCAGAGAAGGCCAAAGGCCTTCAGTTGCCAGCCTGGACAGCAGTCTGACCCAGTCTGTGGATGACAAAAATGATAATATATTTTATGAATGTGATGACTTGCTGCTCTTAAATGAGATTTGGCAGAGTTGCTTTAATTTTGGATTTAATTTACTTGTCCTCAGAACCACCGTGTCATGCTTCACCTAATGATGTACTTTTCATTCACAGCAGAGCTTTTAATTGTCATGAAGAACGTCAGCCAGTGCTGCACATTTATGATCATACCCTCAGGACTGCAGATACTTCTAACAGGGTGATGACAATGGTACAGTGATGGCAGAGACACAGCAGGGTGTGTGTGTGTGGTTTTCTTTTTCTTAAAGTGAATGTAGCATAAATAGTTTCCATCTATCCTTTTATAGATTTAAAACACATTTGTGTTGAAGATCGCTTTTTTTTTTTTTTTCTTCTCCAGATTTTTAGAGTGAGAAGATGCTGAGGAATGAAAATGCATCTTGGTTCTCCAATTTCTCCTCTGCTGCCTCGTCCTTCGTGAAAGGAGATGGAAGCTGGGCAGGAATTGGCCTCCAGGAGGTGGTCATTGGACTGATACTAACCCTTATTGATCTGATCACACTCCTGGGAAACACAGTAGTCTTCATCTGCCCTGTGGTGGAGAAGAGGCTGCGCACTGTCACCTACATGTTCATCATGTCTTTAGCCACAGCAGACTTCCTTGTCGCGTGCCTGGTCATGCCATTTAGGTAAGAAATGATTGTCGGGTAAGACCTGCCCACACTGTGTGCGCAGCATCGTTTCTTCCAGCTTCTTTCAGCTACCATGAGCTGGGCTGTCTAGCAGCCATGTGTTATGCTTGGGGCTGAACTCCTACAGCTTAGCTGTGCGTCTGTGGGTGGATGGGTGGGTATGTACGCCTCACTTTTGGGCCTCACTTTTCCAGCCCAAACCTGTTGACTAGCTTCCCTTTACAATAAATATGTATGTAGAGAAACCTCCCAAGGACTTTTTCCCCCTTTTGGCTACAGGGCCCATGCAGCTCATCTAAAACAGAAGTCTAGCTTTTCAGATGGCTACATTGTGATGAGTCCTGTTTTCCAGGACTAGGGTGATTATTGCATGCTCTGTTTGGGGAATGTGACTGCATTAGTGTCAGTATTAAGTAAAATGGCTATACTGATTATGCTAATCCTTCCAAGGTAGAAGAAATCAGACCGCATCATTCCCTCATCTTTGCCATTCTAGAATGACTTTCAAAACAAGTGGAGCATTCTCCACTTTTGATTTTATGCTGCTTTAACCTTATATCTTATTTTCTGGTGGTGAGTGGGACGAATTAGAAAGTCTCTTACTAGTGACAGAAAATGAATGATTTCAGGCTATTGCAGAGATGTTTAATCTTCATAGTTTTGTTGCCACACAGAATTTTTATTATTCCTTCAGACCAGTCAAAATGCTGGTGGTGTTTGTAGGAAAGACTGGTGAACTTGCAAAATAAATCTCTACCTAAATAGAGAGGAAAAAATGCAGTCTGCAATGGGAGAGCAAATGTCATTCGTTTCATTTGGGGGAATGGTTTTATCCATCTTATCAATTTGCAATGCTGTCAGATAACTGTCAGAGTTGACATGGGCAGAAAGGCCATTGCCCATTTTATTTTAGGATAATTTATTAAGGAGGTATTAGGTAAGTAGAATATACGTAAAGGAGGAAAGGGCATTTCTAGAGGACAGTTGACCCTACTTGAGGTCAGTATCTAAGGGAGCTTCACTGCATAGGTAAAATTCAGTAAAACAAATTCAAAGACCCATTAGCTAGTAGGCTCTGTCTGCCTTGTGCTGCGAAGTGCCTGTAAGTTTGTTTGAAGTGAGTGAGTGACTGTACTGTATTTAGCATTCTAAGCCAAAGCTTATTTTTGCATGTTGTGTCTTCATCCTTATAGGGCTTCCTATGCTTCTGATTTTGGTACTGAAAGATATTTTCCCAACAAAAAAATTAAAAATTGAGTTGTTAGTTCATATTGTCAGATGAAAAAAAGCAGCTAATGATGTCGTTTAAACAATTTTGATTCTAAGCACAATTTTGATTCTAAGCACTTTGAATATTTAAAAATAGGATCTGAAATCATCCATCTGTGCTGTTTCCTTCCCTGCTCCAGCTGCAGGGCTGGATGGGGCTGAGCTGGGCTGCAACTGGTAACGTGCTCTACAAGGCATGAACTGGACTTTTCTGCACAGCAACCTATTTCTCTTTTCTCTGCTCAGRCTGGGTGCAGAAATGATCCATGGCCTACTACTGACAGGAGCATGTGCTATTTTCTCCCCAGAAAAAAATCTGTTTTTTTCCCTCCTCTTGTGCTGCACAAACAAGGTCACTGCAGTAAAATGCACCRCGCAGGAGAGGAACAGCAGAGGATCAGGTCCCTGAAGAAGGGCTGCACTTTGTGGCTGCCACAGTGAAGTCTTGCAAACTTTATGTGGGCCGTTTGGTGAGGAACTGCCTCTGCCAGCTCAAATCCGCGCTGTTGCTGCTGCACCACCCTGCTGGGGTGCTGCACCACCCTGCTGGATCCTGTCTTTCCTCTGTTCTCAGCTTCTCATCTATTATTGCTCTTCTGAATTGCTCCTTACTAGTTGTTAGCTCCTTGGCTTGAGTGCTAGCGCGTGCTAGAAAGAAGTGCAGGGGGAAAAAGTCCTTAGGAGCAGTTTTGGTTCAGGAAAGGAGATTTTGCAAGGCAAGGAAAAAACAGATTATCACCCAGTGCTTTAATTTCATAAGAGCAAGATTGCTATTCTGCTCTTGATCTGTTTTTTTTTTTTTTTTTTGAAGGAGCCGTTAAGCTCTGCTTACCTTGTAGTCTAGGTACTCCAGGCAGCCTAGTGGTTTCCAGTATCAATGTTTCTAGCTTGTCCTTCTCTTTTCCAAGCATACACTGAGGTGAAGTCAGTGACATCTAATTTCACTATTTGTAAATTCCCTTTGGGTATTTGTAAGCTCCCTTTCGGTGAACAGGCTAGTAGTTTTCAGGCCCCTACTCTGCAAAAATGGAAGCCACTTGGGTGTACAAGCAAGTTCAGCTGTAGACTTCATGATTGCTTGAATTTTTGCATAGCCTCTTGCATAACGGCAGAGTGCCTGGGGCTGGGGCCCTTCAGCAGCACAGGAACCTCTTGATGCACTAGCAACAATTGCTGGGCTGGGAAACAACCTTTGCAAGTAGTTTTAATGAATTGTTGCTAATTGGATGCAAACCAGGCATTGTTTTCTAACTCCTCTTACATTAAGTTGATTATTTTACTCTCACTAGATGGCAAAGCTGACCTAAGTGCACTACAGTGCCACTGCTGCAGCTACGCTACATTTACCCCAAAGCTGTGAAGGTGCAGGATAATTAAAGCTTTGCAGAGGCAGGTTGTTACTCACCCTTTCACATAAAATCCAACCGCAGGGGTTATTTGAGCAGCACCCCAGTAGTTACATGAAACTGGTAGAAGGAGGAGGAAGCAAATTGCATTTAAATGAATGCTATGGAAGCGTGCAACAGCCTTCATACAGCTGCCATATGGTCCTTCCCTGGCTGCTCACTTCTTACAGGCCCTCCCTGACTTTACCAGGATAATTCTGGCATTTTGTCTGCTTTTTGCTGGGTGTTTTCCTCACTGAGGCATTTGTGAGTCAGATAATGTAAAAGACTCTCAGTCATTCTCCTGGGGTTTTCTTTTTTTTTTAATATCTATTCATTCTCTTGAAAAAAAAAAAGTAGTTGAAATCCTTCCGTTTTGAACCCTGAGCCCCRATGAAAGCTGAGGTTCTTGTTGCAGGGAGCATCTGCCATGCCCCAAGAACTGGGGAGACTTCATAAAGCTCTGTGATTCATAGTATTAAATCTGTCTGCTGCTAACTTCGATTTCTCTGCGTTTTTCCTCCTAGTATCATTTATGAGGTGACAGGGATGTGGCTGTTTGGGAAGCTGTTTTGCAAAGTATGGATCTCCTTTGATGTCATGTTCTGCACTGCGTCCATCGTTACTTTGTGCTTTATAAGCCTGGACAGATACTGCTCTGTGGTGACCCCTTACCACTACTCAAGAAGGATGTCTCGTGGCAGGTGAGTGCCTTTGCTCAGAAATTTGGCAGGCAACAAGGATAGCAGAGAAGGAAAAAAAATGTGGATGTTTCATTCTCACTGCAAAGCTCTAAGGCTTCTGTACCTATTTTACCACAGGTTTTTTTTTTTTTTTTTTTTTTTTTTTTTTTTTTTTTTTTTTTTTTTTTTTTTTTTTTTTTTTTTTTTTTTTTTTT